AACCTTTTAGGCTTGTCGAACAATAAGTGATGATATAAGGACCACACAGATATAGACTTTTTAGTGTTGTCGATCAATAAAGCACGTTACAGGAACCGAATGGATTTAGGCCTTTTAAAATTTCTGAACAATAAACGATTACGCACTAATCGAAAAGATGCAGTCGGTTGATTTCTAAGATTATCGACCAATAAATGATGATGAAGGTATCGAAAAAAAATATTGATATTTTTAGGACTATTGGGCAATAAAAAATGTTGTAGGAACGGAAAAGATACAGGTGTTTCTGGTATTGACGGCCAAGAAATGATTTAGAAACCGAAAAGCTATATACGTTTCTAGGATGTTAAACACTAAACAAAGATGCAGGAAATGAAAAATATAGTCGTTTCTAATGTTGTTGACTAATGAATTATGATCTAGGAATCCAAATGATATTTAGTTTTTTAGGACTATGGACCAGCAAAAGGCGTTTCATAAACCAAAAAGATACAGAGCTTCTTTTCTAGGATAAAGGGACAAGAAACAATGTTGAAGGAATCGATAATATGTCAACGTTTTCTGGATTGTCGATAAATAAACAATGATGCAGAGATGGAAATGATAAAGACGGTTTCAGGACTGTCGATCAATAATCGATGGTGCAGGAACCAAAAATATTTAGACCTTCAAAGGTTTTGAATTAATAAATAATGATGCTGGAATAGAAAATATGTAGACTCTTTAAGACTGTGAACCAATAAACAAGGATGCAGGAACCGAAAGATGAAGACGGTTTCGTTTTAGGATTATCAACCATTGAACAATCATGAATGAACCAAAAAAAAGATATAGATGTTTTCATGATTGTCGACCAATAACAAATTATGTAGAAACCGAAAAGATACAGACATATCTAGGATTGACGACAAAGGACTAATGATGCAGGAGCCTGAAAGATATAAACGATGCTAGAATGGCTGAATAACAACAATGATGATGCAGGAAACGAAAGATATTGACGTTTCTAGGATTGTCTATCAATAAACGATGATGAAAGAACGATAATATATAGGTGTTTCTAAGATTGTCGACCAATGAATGGTGGTTAAGGATCGAAAAGATATAGAACTTTTAGGATTGTCAGCCATTAAACGATGATGCAGGAACAGGAAAGATATAGAATTTCTAGGATTTTCGACCAATAAACCACAATGCAGGAACCAATAACATATTCCTTGCTTCATCGCTCATTGATCGACAATCATGTGAACATTTTTATCTTTTCTATTCCTTCATCATCATTTATTGGTCTATAATCCTGGAAAACAGGCTACGATATATATTCTGTTCCTGCATCGTCGTTTATTGATCAATAACACTAAAGATTCTCTATATATTGGTTCCTGCATCATCAGTCATTGGTCAACAATCATAAAATGTCTATATAATTTTGGTTTATACATGGTCCTTTATTGGTCCAAAACCCTGCACATTTTTTACATATGCTCAGTTCTTGAAACGTTTATATCTTATCATTTGCTCCATCATTGCATATTAGTTGGCAGTTTTCCACAGTCTACATTTTTCAATCCTTGCATCATCGTTTACTGATAGACATTCCTAGAAACTTCTATATTTTTCATTTCTTGCATTATCGCTTGTTTTCAACCATTCTAGAAACGTCTATATATTTTTCGTTCCTGCATCATCGCGTATTTGTCGTAAATGGTTAAATGTCAACGAAAGGATATAAGCGTTTTTAGGATTGTTGATCAATAACATCTGATAGAAGAATGGAAATGACGCAGGCATTTCTGGGATTTACGACCAAGAAATGGTGATTCAAAAACCGAAAAGATATAGACGTCTCTAGGATCGTTGACAAACAAACGATGATGCTGAAAAATGAAAGTTATCGGCGTTTTGGAATTGTTTACCAAAAAGCGATGATGCAGGAGTGGAAAAGATATAGATTTTTTTATGATTGGCGACCATCAAACGACGAAGCGGGAACCGGATATATATATAGAACTGTTAATATTTTCGACTAATAAATGATGATGCAGGAGCTGAAGAGATATAACGTTTCTAGGATTATCAAACAAGAAACGACAATGCATGAACCGAAAATATATAGACTCTTTTTTTCTAGGACTATTGACAAATAAACGATGGTGCAGATACCAAAAAGATACAGGCGTATCTGGCCTTGTCGACCAACGAATCATAATGCAAGAACCGAAAAGATATAGAAGTTTCTGAGATCGTAGACCAATAGAAAATGATGCAGGAACTGATGACATGTCTCAGATCGTCGACTAATAGAAAATTGTGCAAGAACCAAAAAGATACAGATGTTTCTAGAATTGACGACCAACATATGATGCAGAGCAGAAAAGATTTAGAAATATCCATGATTGTCGACTAAGAAACGATTATACAGGAACAAAAAGATATCGATGTTTTGATGACTGCTAATCAGTAAACGATAATGTAGTATCTGAAAATATATTAACATTTCTAGAATTGTTGAGCAATAAACAGTTACCAAGGAGCAGGATAGATACATACCTGTATGGGACTGTTGACCATTAAACGATAATTGAGGAACCGAAAATATATTAGGCTTGTTAAAAATGTCCACCAATTACTGATGATGCAGCAACTCGGAAGATGTTAATGTTTCTTTTGTATGATTATCGACAAATATGCGATGGTGAAGGAACTGAAAAGATATAGAAGTTTCCAGTATTGTCCACCTGTAAATGATAATGCAGGAACGAAAAGATAAGACGATTTTTAGGATTGTCGGCCAATCAGTGATGTCGTAGGAACCACAAAGGTATCGATATTTCCAATAATGACGATGCAGGAACTAAAGGATGTAAACGTTTTTAGGACTGTCAATTGATAAGCAATGATGCAGGAACTGAAAAGATACATGCGTTTCTAGGATTTAAGACCAACAAATGATGATGAATAGACCAAAAGATATAGATGTTTCCAAGATTGTCAACCAATAAACGATTCTGTACGATCCAAAAAAGATACATGTGTTTCTAAGTTTGTCGATCAAGATATGATTATGAAGGAATCGAAAAAATATAGACGTTTTAAAGATTGTCGACCAACATATGATGATGCAGGAAATGAAAAACACAGACGTTTCTAGGATTGTCTATCAATGACCTATGATACAGGAACCGAAAATATATATAGTATTTAAAAACTTCGACCTATTAACGATGATATAGGAGCCGACAACATGTGGATGTTTCTAGGATTATCAACCAAGAAACGATGTTGAAAGAACCAAACAGATTAGACATTTCTTTTCTAGGATTATCGACCTATAAACGATGACAGGAGATCCGAAATGACATAGAAGTTTCTAGGACTGCCGGTCAATAAACAATGATGCAGGAGCAGTAAAGATATAGAATTTCTAGGATTGCCCACCAATAAATGAAGAAGCAGGAATGCAAAATATACAGACATCTTAAAATTCTCGATCTGTTAACTATGATGGAGGAAGTGCAAAAGATATAGATATTTCCAGGATTATCGACGAAGAAACGGTGTTGCAGGCTCGAAAATATGTAGATGTTTCTTTTCTAGGATTATCGACAAATAAACAATGATGAATGAACGAAAAAAGCTCGGAAGTTTGCAGGATTTCGACCAATAAACGATGATAAATGAACCAAAAAGGCTCGGAAGTTTGGAGGATTTCGACCCATAAACGATTATGCAGGAATTAAAAGATATAGAAATTTCTAGGATCGTCTCGTCGACAAACAAACGATAATGTAGGAACAAAAAGTATAGAAGAACATAGATGTTTCCTGGAACTTCAATCAACAAACGATGATGCAGGAATCGTAAAGATAAAAACGTTTCTAGGTTTGTCGACCAAAAAAACAATGATGAAGCAGGTTTCGATAAGATATAGACGTTTCTAGAATTGTCGACCAGCAAGCCATGATAGAGGAATCGAAAAAAATATAGCAGGTTTTAAGGATTTTCAACCAATAAATGAGGATATATTAATCGAATAGATACAGGCGTTTCTTGGATTATCTACGAAGGAATGGTGATGTAAGAACTGAAAAGATATTGACATTTCTGGATTGTTGACTGTTATGTGTACTCTGATGTAGAAACATCATCTTGATGGAAAAGTTCAAAATATATTTTCATGCCATTTTGAGTTAGGGTATATTCTATAATATTAGTACTGATTATAGAAAAAAAAGTTTAGAACATTATTAAATCATATTGTTCAATATAATTGAACGTGTCTTTTAATTAAAATGTTAATATCTGTGATATATTATCACAACAAATTTTCTTACAAGTACAGTAAGGGAAAATTGGAAAATATTTTGAAGAGGGACTCAAAAAGTACGTGAAACTACAAATTATATTTTGTTCGTAAGGCAGTCTGTGTAAGTTTGCTTCTAGAAGGTAATCCTGTATGATTTTGCTTCGGAGCCATTTCACTGGTTTAGTTTTTCTTGGTTAAAAGTACCAAGAATAGTATCCATATATGCAGAAACAGTAATACACTTTAACTGGGCCACGTTTGCTACTGATTGTAGGCCAATAATAATATCAAATAATATATATACCGTACTTGTGTCTCAGTTTATGTCCGTTAGTTAGATAAATAGAAAAAGATACAACAGATAGTTACGAGACCATATTTGTTGACATAACAAATTACTGTGGTTAGTTTCTTCAAACTGTTTTTATTATGTCATGTTTCTCATATATAAATCTGTATATATCAGTAAAATATGTTCCGAGTTCAAGAAATAAACCACCAGGAGTCTCTAAATAACGTTTAACGCAACTGCACTATTTTCTTTATCTTTCTTTTTTTTTCAGCGCTACCTGTGAATTTTCCAAGCTATTAGACCTTAACTTAAAAGAAAGATAGTCAAAAAACCAATTACTTCAACCTTGTAGGCTTCACGGTTTAATACTATGGTCTAACTGCGGAGACTTTTTCTCAGGTACTACTGGTGATCTTCGTGAAAGACATGTTTGACCTGTATTAGAATATCTTGCCATCTGAGGAGCTGAAGGGTTTCACGGCTGATCACCTCGACCTCCCGGAATAGTCCGCTCCACAGGCGGAGCTTCTGACAGCGTCTTGCTTGTTGGAGTAAAAGGGGGAGGGGCAGGGAATACATCGACTTGGCTTGAGGATAAGTGAACGAGCCAGAAGGCTGACACTTGAAGAACTTTCTTTCTCGCGTTAGCTACAGCGATTGCAAGTGGAACGCGTGGCAGTGCTGAAAGATCCGCTGCCAGTGTTGACAACTTACTCGTTCTCATGTTTGTCGCTAAACATGGGCAAGTGTTTAAAATCTTCTGTAAACCACCAGAAATCTGGATATTTCTTAATTTATAAGCACTTGGCGTTTAATAGTTCTTGTAATAAAAGAAAAATCTCTAACATGTTAACCATAATTTGAAGAAGACTATTTTGTCCGTACCCTTTTTGCTGGAGCATGACATCATTGTTTCCTGTCAACCTAACTGACTGCATTCCCCTAAATAGAAGCATCGTTCTACCCAACATTTCACAGTTTCTAAACTGTACTTTCTCGAGCGATGTCGACAGTTTTCGACTGGAATTTCCGGACTATATACGAACAGTAGCCACTGTTCTGTGTGCTGTAGTGCTAGCCGTAGGAACAATAGGTAATATCTTAGTCCCCGTCGTTGTCTGTCGGACGAAAGACTTAAGAAACTCCACCAATTTCTTTTTGATCAACCTAAGTGTAGCTGATTTACTGGTTTTACTGGTCTGTATGCCCACCGTGTTGATAGAGCTTCATTCTAAGCCGGAGGTTTGGGTTCTTGGAAAAGGAATGTGTAAGTATATTATTACTTTATTAAAGTCTGTGTGTTAGCCAGGCATATTTCCAATTTTTGATTTAAAATAACAAGTATAAAGTCTTGTGTTGCTCTATAATGATATGTTTCTTAATTCCTAAAGAAAACAAATGAAAGTGTTTTGATTCTAGGAAACTGCATTCTATTTTGTTCGTAAAGTTAAACAACATTCTGTGGTGTTTAAATTTCTCTTAGGAAAGAAGTCAGTTTTGTATTTCAATAACACACTAATACATTTATATTTGATTGTCAATTCCCACAAAATTAATTTTTAAAGTGAATTTTAAACTGAGTAAAGCTGACCATAGATATCAAAAGAGGCTTAATGAGATTTCTTGCAATAATTATTTAGAACATCCGATGGAAAATAATCTACCTCTATAGATCAAAACTGAAATAACTTAAAGCAACATGTACGTTATTGAAGTAATTTTGGTAAAACGTAGTGCTTTGCATTTGTTTGTTTGTTGTTAATCACAAAGTTGCGCAATAGACTATCTGTGCTAAAATCAGTCTGATTACACTGCACCAAATCTTCAGTTTGGTACCCTTGTTGTTCATAATATTTTTGGTTGTATTATCAGTAATATATCACGAGGTTTGACCAGCTTAGAAAACTTTGGTTAATGCTAAATTTATACATAAGAAAAAAAGGTAAGATAATCTTTTTAAGTGTAAGTACAACTTGAAAACATTACTTTAAGTTTTATAATCAATAAGCATAAATTGTATTGGTTTTCCAAGTTGGTCGGCATCTTGTGCACACGTTAGTTAAATGGCAGTTTAGAGACCGCTAGACCCAAGGTATAGCTGTCTCTAATTTTGAGCTACCAGAGGGAAAGTAGTCAGTTAGCAGCACCTGCCACCACATCGACTTTGTCCGACTTTGAAGGAACAATGGGATTGACTGTCACCCATATAACGCATCCATAGCTGAATGTGCAGAGTGCTTTTAGCTACAAAATTATTAACAGATCATAAGCAAGGGTATGCTAATTGCCTGTCTGAATAATTATATCGATATTCTTTAGCTTATTTCTTAGAAAATAGCTTAAAAGTACACTAGAATACTTTCACTTTATCACGAAATGTCACTTTTTTCTGTGTAAACTTGGAAAATAAGAAACTCCGTAATGAATATTTACGTTCCTACATACACACTGTCAAACCATAACATAAATGTACTTAAAAGGAAAAAAATCAGTAAGTAACAACACCCTCTATAGAATATTATAGATTAATGCCAAGCACATATTAACAGGTACGTAGATGTATTTTTGTGGTGTAATGTCAGTTAAGTGAAGATTTTTTACACTGTTAACTCAGAGAAAAACAACCGTTTTTGGTTTTGTAAGCTGATAATAAATACACTTATCACAATAAACTGATATTGTAGAATGGACTATTAAATTTGAAATACATTTTATGAGCTTATTTTAATCAATAATTGTGTTTAACAAATACGGATAATGGTGTTTCTTAAAATAAAATAAGAACATACGCAACTGCTTGTCGCATCCTTTTTAAACATACCTCTTTCGTCTTAGGGAAAAGCTATTCCAAATATTCATGTTATCTATCCTATCAAACTAATTTGAAGCTTAAGCTTCTTCTGTATATCAAATATGTATCATAACCTTTACTTTTAAGATCTAGTTGTCAAAATATGTCCTTGAATAGTGATAATGGTTTTGAAACATTTGAAATAGCACCCATAAAAGTAATCCGAGCAAACATGCTGTGTCTTATAGAGATCATTCCATTGTTGTTATCATGTTTAGTAAATTCAAATAAGCTAAGCGTGGAAAAATTGTGTAATTATCTTAAACCATACTTTTCTTGGAGGTTATCTTACTTACCTCTTCGGTTTTGCCTTCGACTTTGTTCGTTGTTAAGCACAAAGATACCCAATGAGCTATCTGTGCTCTGCCTTCTGTGGATATCGAAACCCGATTTTTAATGTTATAAGCGTTCAGATTCTCCGCTGAGACACCGTTTTTTTGCCTTTGACAAGGTATCAAAATGTGGCCAAATCGGTTCTATTGCACCATCCCAATTAAAGAGTGTCCTTTGTTTCTTTAAACTGCTTCTATTAGACATACCATGTTTAAAGTGATATAATCCTAGGTTATTGTTTTTCTAAGTTTCTAAAACGCAAGATTTCGTGACTTATTTTTTTGGTTGAAATTTAAAGCAAATACATAATTCTAAAGTTGTATTCACCTTTTTACTTTTTTTTTACTAGAGCTGATAATATTATATTATTTCTTCATCATTTCGAAGTGGAAATATTTATCATTTCGAGTATTTTCGATATTTCTTAAGTGTTAATTTCCTCTATTGAACCGGGACTCATTACTTGTAACAGACTAATTTTTGTGATTACCAACTGCTAGAATGATGGCTAAATAGCTTTATTTAGAAATTATTATGAAAAAGTGTAACTGTTCACAAAGTATAGGCATGGATATTTACCGTAAAGACTCGCGGGAATAAATACATCTTCGAAACACATGTTAAGTTTCATCTGACTACTTCCGACTGTCAAGCGGACAAAACCCTGCCGTAACATACCGAAAACACGATGATCAATAACACACCCGGAATTTTAGATTTATACCGAGTAAAGTGGAATATGAATGGGTGAGCTTAAGTATTTAAAACTTATATTATGTTCATTTTTGAAAATACATAAAACACGCTGGGAGTATTCAGTGTTAAAAAACATAGGATTTTTTTGTTGTTTAACCTTCTGTTACTTAGAATCTGTAAAGTTGTTGGGATGGGTTTGACACCCGTACTTGTTTTGATTTTTTAGCGATGCAATGTTTCTAATTCACGCGCCAATCTCGACAACATATAGAAAATGGTCAAATGACATGTCCAAAAAACATAACCATACAGAAGAAATAATTAAGATCAAACGACATATCTCATTAATATGAAAATGATTTTGAGACTTATGGAAAAAGGAAACCGAAACTTCTTTATAAGTGTGACAACTGTGGAGGTTTTTTAAAACTCCTATATTCAAATTAATTATAACAAATCATAGAATTTTGGTAGCATCTCATGTCATCTTGTTTTACACTTTTTATTTAATTTGTAACGCTCTCAAAAAACAATTTTACTACATAATGTAGTAAATAATGAATTTTAGGAAGGATATCACCGTTACATCACTATTCTAAGTTTACTCGCAAATATGTGAAACAGTCATTTTCTTATTTAATGGTTTTCTAGCAATATCGAATGTATTTTATAAAACTGAACACTAATCAGGGCACTAGGCTTAAAGCTTAGTGTATTTTGTAAATAATTTTAACTGGCATTAATTGTAAATTAAATACGTATTGCTGTTAGGTAGAAAAAAAGAATAATCTCTCAAATTATTGTCTTGATTTTATATCGTTCACTACTGGTGGAGTTCATATTTTGCATCATATTGACTAATTTTATATCGTTCACTACGGGTGGAGTTAATATTTTGCATCATATTAACTAATTTTATACCGTTCACTACTAGTGGAGTTCGTATTTTGCATCATAGTGACTTGATTTTATATCGTTCACTACTGGTGGAGTTCATATTTTGCATCATATTAACTAATTTTACATCGTTCACTACTGGTGGAGTTCATATTTTGCATCATATTGACTTTATTTTATATCGTTCACTACTGGTGGAGTTCGTATTTTGCATCATATTAACTTGATTTTATATTGTTCACTACTGGTGGATTTCATATTTCGCATCATATTGACTTGATTTTATTTCGTTCACTACTGGTGGAGTTCATATTTTGCATCATATTGACTTGATTTTATTTCGTTCACTACTGGTGGAGTTCATATTTTGCATCATATTGACTAATTGTATGCCTTTGGTTGTTACAATACTCAGTAATTAGTGGGATTAATTTCACTATGGACCGGCATGGTCTAATGATTAGCGTGAATTTTCAAACTGCTTGTGGGTCCATGACTTTGTTGGTTACATTGTCCCTAATAACGTATGATTCACACACACACACACAATTAAATAAAAACACCATCAATTATTCGTTTGTTTAAAAACATTCACGCAAAGCTATACAAAGGGCTTACTTACTTTTGAACTGAGAGACCACAGGGAAGTCAATTATTCAACAGCACCTACCATCAACTCTCATGCTACCTTTATCTGACCCAATAATGATATCTTATTGTTATCTTATAGAATTCCTACAGCCTCAAAGTGTGAAGCGCATTTTTGCCGCGAACTGTAAATCCACAAATTCACAGTCCACGTACTGTTTTCTGGGACATTGATGCTAACGTATTCTCAATTGTTACAAGAAGCCGCACCTTGCTTACAACGGCTGGTTTATGACTTATTGCAGGACCTGGATGGTCCTGCTGCCCCAAATTGATCCCTATTCTTTAGTCTTACAATATTATTAAGTTCAAGCGATATTCCTGTATTGGAAATCCTAAATTCACGATCTGAACACATTTTCATGATCTGAGTGTATGGATATTTTGTGTTGGAAAGGGCTTTTGCATACCTCTTCATACTACTGTGGTAATGTAAAATAATGAGAAAATGTAATTCTGATACATTCCGTTCCACCACGATTTTAAGTCGGTTGTTGTTGCTATGTGACTTGCTGATTTTCATATTCAGAATTGTTTAATGTACTCAAACCCATGTATAATATTGAATAATCAACCGTATTTTGTATTGTTCTGCTATACAACTTACTGTACATATATACATATAGAATAATCGATGGAGTACATAGATATCATCGGCTTTTTATTAACATTTTTCTAAACTCTTTAGAATCCACTTCTCCTGTTCGCTATTTCCACAATCATTTGAGTATGAAGAAAATGATTTTTCAGTGCACATTTTAACACTGCAATCGCACAGACATCCGTGAGAGAATTCACTGATATGTGTTCATATGGAGCAGCGTGAATATCCGTTTCATTCG